GCTCTTCCAACGTAATCGTTATCCAGAATAATCAGTGCCTTCTTCAAAAGAAAATGCATTTGACATTGTTTCCACTTTTTGTTGAGTGTGACATCATGCGAAAAAGTAGCCGAATGTTATGTGCAGAAACGAAAATTTGGACAGCAGTGGGTTATATTTTGCGGAGTGTGGTCCGACTGATTGTATGTCTTCAAGATTCGAAATGTTTTTTTTTTTTTTTTGCGACGAAAAAAAATCCTGTTTGAGCAATTTTTATTTGGAAAATTCGGGTCGTCAGAAAAAGAAATATACTCTTGAAAGGGTGGTATGAAGTCTTACGAATGTTCAGGAATATTTGAGCGACCCGCAGAACGAGTGACGATTGTGTTGAATTGATTCATGTTGAACCTGTGTTGCTAAAAATTGGGAAAGGGAAGGAGTGATGATATGAGAAAGGTGCGAATAACTAACTCATGTGTGCACAACGAAAGCTATGCTTGACTTTTGCCTGAGCAAATGACGGAGGGGAAAACATACGTGCCATTTATTTTTGCATTCAATTTCCGAGTTTGGCGACATGAAAAATGTTTTCGCTGGGGAGAAGAATACATTTATTTTTAACGTGTGACTTCTTTGCAGTGTTTTATTTGTGTGAGTTTCAATTTTTTTTTGTACAATTTTCAAGTTCAGTTCATCAACAATAAAGGTAAAATTTGCAGATCAGATCATCAGTAGTTGATTTGAGTTATTCATTAACCAACTTATCCTAGATGTGCAAAGAGTTTGCAGAGTCATTCATCAATTTACCTTTGTGAAATACATTTATACTTTGAACTTAGGAATTCCTACAAGGAATTCCTGGTCCTGTCCTGGAGTGATTGTTGTGTTTTATTGCAACACTCAACATCAACTTATTTTGCAGTGACATCTGTCTCCAATAGATCACTTGGATGTGTGAAATTTTTTTCTGCTCATTAAGGATTCTTCAAATCAAAAATATATGTCTGTTATTTGCATTCTCATATTTTTGAACAAGAACAATAATTTGAACTAAACTTTCAAATTTTCCAGGCTTAACTGAAAATCTAGAGAACCCCGGAAAAAATATATCACTATATTTTAATGTAAGTGCTATAATTTGATGCATATTGATTTGTTCTTGTCAATGTTTGAAGAGAAAGACAAGTGAAGTCGGCTCTGTTTTTTTCTTCAACAGGAAATTCATATTACACATGAAAGTTCTAGTTTCTACATGTTCATAAATGTTTGCTTTTATTCATATACAAATCTCTTTGGGATGCTTGACATTTGCAAACAAGATAAAATTGGGCCTTACAGACGTCAAAGCCAGAATTTTGTGAACAGGGAACTCTTTGTTAATCTAGTATATTGATTTACAGTATATTGATTCATTTTGATTATCTTGTTCAACATCATTACAGTGCAGTATTTGAATACAATTGAAGCATTGTTTTTTTAATCATGTAACACTGGGGTTTGTGCCTCATGAAGGTGAGGGGATTCATTTTTTGGAAAATTTCCTGATAAAAATTAAGGTAATAATTGATTAATTATTATTTAAGGGTGTGTTGCGAAGGTTCTTGAGTAAATATGGTAATTTGAGAGGATGAGAGTCATGAGACAATCTTTTGAACTGGCTGAAGTCATTGGACTCTTGATGTGACATCTAGACATACTCTCCGAAGCACCGCAGACTGCTTCGGTTTCAGAATTAAAAATATAGATGTCGTACGGAGTAGAAGAAGCCAAAGAAGATCACTTTGAAAGATCTGTTGCGGAGGCAAGTCGCAGTGAGACCCAGGTTCAATCGCCGGCACCCGAAGCCATGCAGATTCGGTCACGATTTGACCGAGTGCCAATACTGACAACCCATGACACTGGCTCACTGGACATATGGGTTCCTATTGGATTGCAAACGGACCTTGATGACCTCAAATGAGTTCACAACAACTGCCTCGCTGGAGTGGGGAAATTGGTGCACACTGGAGATATATATGTAATGCTCAAGATCTTGTGAAACAGTTTCTTCTTGCAATATTTGTCACCAACTCATCATGCATACAGTATACAGGTGGTACCTTCCAATTCAACCCCAATCTGCTGCTGGACTAGGGTCAAATCACAAAGCAGTCAACTTGTAAGACAAAGTCAAATGTCATGCTGTTTTCTATATGGCATTTGATGTTTTGTGTCTCTCCACAGGTCAAATTGAGAGTCAATACCTTTAAGCAAATTCAATGGTCAAATTGTGGCAGGTCAAATTGCAAGGTACCACCTGTACTGTACTTCCAAGAAAACATTATCATTCACTTTCAAATTGTTTTATAATCATAAAACAAAAAAGAAGCTTCTACATATTTGGCTTGAAAATAGAAAAGTACATTCCTAGGATTTATGGTTTCAAAAATTGATTTTTCACTGGTTCTTATATTACTTGCTTAAATTGAGGAATTTTAATCCTTGAAATCTTTTCAGCAGCTGCCAGAAAATTCTAAAAAATTCGTTTGTAGTTGAAAATGTGTCAGAACTTTTTAGTATGTTACTTGTTTTAATGTACTGTATCACAATTCACATCACAGTAAAACACAGAAATCGGACTTCATACAACACCAGAATTTAATCTCGCACAAATACGCAAGCCCATCGGAAACTCAATTCCCCGGGAAAAAAGCACATAATTTCTCAGACAAACCTCTTCAAAATAATATTCGCAGAAACATAAATTAGGGAGCAAACTGCGCGCAAAAATGGGGCTCTCCTCTGGAAATTGGCTTCTCCCCCTGTACATATATTAATACCGTCTATATATGCCAACTTCTCCGGCTTTTAATGCTGATCTTCTCATTGTCAAAAAAAATAAACTAGGAAGGACTAATGAAGACAATTTAAAGAATCGAGTTGTAAATATGTACAGAGGCTAGATCAAAGATAATTTCCGTGAGACATGAGCAGGGGTTCTATATATGCGTTTGAAATCGAAACTCCACTTTGGTGCAAAATTTCATTGATCTCGCTGTTTTTCAAACGCATATTTTGCGAAATTTTCTAATGCTGAAATTGAAAGCCATCGTTCCTGATGATCGAATTCCAGGGTTGTCCAAAAATTCGCGATACACAGTGCATTTATTTCTGCCAGCGTGTGAAAATTTGAATGACGTGTTTCTTTGGACAGTAAATTGGGTTCCCAGATAAATTTTTTATAAAATTTCAAGACCGATTTCCCTCACATTTGACGAATTTTTTTTGGCAAGAAATTCCCAAATTAACCGGCGTGCAAATTTGTTTTGCACATGTATTTGAGACAACCGTGAAATGCGGTATTTCCACATCAGTGTTATTTTTGGACACCCTTTCATCCTCATGCTGTGTAAAATGCAAAATCCATGGAATAATTATTTCAGTTTTTCGAGATGCTTTGTGACCGATTCATTTCCTGTTGATCAATTAATTTGCATAATTCGAAAATGCTGCGCAAAAATTTGTTGGTTCCTAGAAGGGAAAGAAGCCAGTCGAAATGTGCTGAGTGTTCGATTCTAATCTTTTTTTGCCAATTCATTCCGATCCGTGGGATTCTGCAACTGATACGCTTTGAGATCCTAATTTGAATTTGACTTCAGAAGTGACGAAGGAAATTTCAGTTTTTCGCTGTTGATTTGAGTGCGAATTCCGCTTGATGGTGATGATTGAAATTGAGTTTGTGCGATTGATGACATCAGAACTCCGATTCGTCCGGTGATCCTTCTCCGTAAAATCGAGCTGCAAAAAAAGAAAATGTATAAAAAAATCAAAATAGATTTGCATCATCCCATGCAGAAGCATTTGTTTCATTCTCCAACTTGAAATACGCCAGGAAAGTAAATTTTTATAAGCATCAACTTGTAAAAAGAATACCCTTCCATCATATCTGTTATAATCCCTTGAAATAAATCTATCTCTAAAAAAATTTTAGATTCCAAATTTGTCCAAAGGGACTTATTGACACTGTTCAGAAAAATGTTAATAAAAATTTTTCTATATCTGCCTTAAAG